TGGTGACAGGGCTTCTTTTGGGGGTGGTGAAAATATTCTGGAATTCAATAGTGGTGATGGTTGCACAACTTTGTGAATATACTAAAAACCACTGAGTTAAACACTTTAAAGGGGTGAATTTTATGATATATGAACTATTTCTCAATAATATATATCATTATATTTACATACAGAGTGTGTATACATACTATATATGTGTATATATATACAGTATATATACTGTATGTGTGTGCATGTCTGTATATATGTGTGTATGTGTGTGTATGTGTGTGTGTGTGTGTGTGTGCATGCGTTTGTATGGAAAAACAGTACTTTGAGCCACACTGGCCTTGGTTTGGTTCCTGGCTCTGTCATTGTATCTTTTGACTTTGGGCAAGTCACTGCACCTGTCTGAACTCCACATTCTCTTTCTATAAAAAGCAGATAGTGGCTGGGCATGGTGGCTCCCACCATTTTGGGAGGCCAAGGCAGGAGGATCACTTGAGCCCAGCAGGTTCAGGCTGCAACGAGCTATGATCACATCACTGCACTTCAGCCTGGATGACAGAGGGAGACTCTGTCTCAAAAAACAACAACAGCTGGGTGTAGTGGCACGTGTCTGTAATCTCAGTTACTCAGGAGGCTGAGGAGGGAGGATTGCTTGAGCTGGTGAGGCAGAGGTTGCAGTGAGCCGAGATTGCACCACTGCATTCCAGCCTGGATGACTGAGTAGTGAGACCCCATCTCAAAGGAAAAAATAAAAAAAAAAAAAAGGCCGAGTGCAGTGGCTCACACCTGTAATCCCAGCACTTTGGGAGGCTGAGGCAGGTGGGTCATCTGAGAGATGGAGTCTCTCTCTCACCCAGGGTGGAGTGTAGTGGCACAATCTCAGCTCACTGCAAACTCTACCTCCTGGGTTCAAGAGATTCTCCTGTCTTAGCCTCCCAAATAGCTGGGATTTCAGGCATGCACCACCATGCCTGGCTAATTTTTTGTATTTTTAGTAGAGATGGGGTTTCACCATGTTGGCCAGGCTGGTCTCGAACTCCTGACCTCAGGTGATCCACCCTCCTTGGCCTCCCAAAGTGCTGGGGTTACAGGTGTGAGCCACCACACCTGGCCATGGGAGGCATTTCTATGGACTCACCTGTCTTCTTGCAAGCGACTCTGTGTCCATGGCATGCAGTATGTGTGTGTACACGTGTGAACATGTCTCCAGCTGTGACTACAACTGCATAGCGGGATATGGGCATGTGTATGCGTTTCAGCCTGTGAGTGTAGGTTCAGACACAGGCCATCGTGGGCACCCTGGGTTGAGCTCGCACCCAACCTCACGAGTCCAGCTGGGGAAGTGTGTCTGCCTGCAACCTGCGGTGAGCACTACCAACTCTTCTGCTCACTGTCGTCCAAGGAACACACACACGTATCCTGGCGTCCAGTCCTGAGTGTGGGAGCCCAGAACGGCCTGTGCCAGCTGACTGAGCCTTGGCGCCCTGTGACTACTCCCTCCTGACCCAGCATGAACTGGAAGGGGTCTGGGGAGCTGGGGGTGTTGCATCCCCCGGTTCCTCCAGCCCAGTTTTCCCCAGGGACTGACCAGCCAGACACCGACAATTCAAGACTCCTAGCCAGGCTGTGGCTCTTCCACTCTGAGCCTCAGTCTCTTCTTCGGGAAAATGGGACAACAGCATCTTCCTCACGGAACCACTGTAAGTTTGTAAGTGTTTACAGTTGAGTCCCAGAGAAGATTGAATCAACCCAGCTGCTATTATTAATTCAATGAAACAGCAGCCTTCGAAGCCAATTCCTGTACATCCCTAGCTGTGGTCAGGGAGACTGTGGAATACTTTCATAAATGACAACAACAATACCAACCGCAATAGTAATAACAATAGGAGAGGGCCGGGTACGGTGGCTCCCGCCTGTAAACCCAACACTTTGGGAGGCTGAGGCTGGAGGATCACTTAAGGCCAGGAATTTGAGACCAGCCTGGGTAATATAGTGAGACCTCATTTCTACAAAAAAAAAAAAAAAAAAAAAGAAAAAAATAGCTAGGCATGGGGGTGCGCACCTTTAGTCCCAGCTACTCAGGAGGCTGAGGCTGGAGAATTGCTGGAGCCCAGGAGGTCGAGGCTACAGTGAGCCATGGTCATGCCACTGCACTCCAGCCTGGGCAAGAGAGCATGACCCTGCTTCTTTTTTGTTCTTTTCCTTTATATATATATATATATATAGAGAGAGAGAGAGAGAGAGACAGACAGACAGACAGACAGAGACAGAGTGCAGTGGCAGGATCTCTGCTCACTGCAACCTCCGCCTCCTGGATTCAAGTGATTCTCCTGCCTCAGCCTCCTGAGTAGCTGGGACTACAGGTGTGCGTCACCACGCCCAGCTAACTTTTGTATTTTAGTAGAAATGGGGTTTCACCCTCTTGGCCAGGCTGGTCTCGAACTCTTGACCTCAAATGATCCTCCCACCTCGACCTCCCAAAGTCCTGGGATTACAGGCGTGAGCCACCGTGCCCAGCCTTCCACATCTTTTGTGGGGGACACAATTCAAACCGTAACAGGCGTGAGCCACCACACCCAGCTAAATCTAAAATGTTTAAATGAATAATCTTTTAAAAATTGAAAAAAAAAAGATGATTCTGGAAGTACTTTGAAGGAAGCTGGTCAAAGAAGCTATATTTCAGGGTCTGTTTGTTTGTTTGTTTGTTTGTTTTGAGACAGGGTCTCGCTCTGTCACCCAGGCTAGAGTGCGGGGGTGCCATCACAGCTCACTGCAGCCTCCATCTCCAGGGCTCAAGTTCTCCTCCCGCCTCAGGCTCCTAAGTAGCTGGGACCACAGGCCCATACCACCATGCCCAGCTAATTTTTAAAATTTTTTTGTAGGCACCTGGGTCTCCCTATGTTTATCTATGCTGGTCTCGAACTCCTGGGTTCAGGGATTCCTCCCCACCTCCCCCAAGCCTCCCAAAGTCTTGGGATTACAGAGAGTGAGCCACGGGGCCGGCCCAGGAATCTATATATCATTGAATCTCCTCAACAGTCTATGAGCTAGGTAGCATTATCCCATTTTTCAGAGGGAGAAACTGAGGCACAGACAGGTGAATGTCCTGGCTGAGGGTCCCACCACTGGGGCCCCTCCATGCCCTGTCTCCGCTTGGGGCTCAGGAGCCTGAGATCTGGCTGCACTGTTCTAGAGGCCGAGGAGTAGGAATGGAAAAATGAGGATGGAGACAGACCAGCCCATCCCAGGGGGCATAGCCCTCCAAGCCGGCCTCGCCTCCCTACCCTAGGAGCTTGACCAATGGCAGAGACAGAGAATGGGAGCGGTGGCTCAGACCTGTAATCTCAGCACTTTGCAGGCCAAGGTGGGCGGATCACCTGAGGTCAAGAGTTTGAGACCAGCCTGGCCAACATGGTGAAACCCCATCTCTACTAAAAATACAAAAATTAGCTGGGCGTGGTGGTGGGTGCTTGTAGTCCCAGCTACTCAGGAGAATCGCTTGAACCCAGGTAGTGAGGCGAGATCGCGCCACTGCACTCCAGCCCGGGCGATGAAGTGAGACTGTCTCAAAAGAAAGAAAAAGAAAAGCCATAACTTTTGCAGGCCGCCACTAGACCGACCCTTGCCCCACCTGGTCCTTCCCCCCTTGGGTTTTGGCCCCCCATGTTCTCCCGCACCCCAATCCCTCAAGAGCCCCTCGCCCTCTGTACCCCTTCCCAGGCGCCCTCCCCGCTTGGGCGCCATCTCAGGGATCCCCACCCCATCATCCCCTACTCCCTCGGGGCTCCCGCCTCTTCGCCTCCATTCCCCCCTCCTCCAACCCCTTCGGGACTCCTGCTGCCTGTCTACCCCCTCCCGGGGTTTCCCTGTTGGTTCAGGGCTGTGGGGGATTCCCCTTCCCCTTCTGGGCTCCCCTTTCCCCACTTCAGTTCTCCCCTCCTCCTAGCCCCAGGCGGGATCCCCTCCCCTCCCCCTTCTCCCTCTGGGACTTCCCCCTCCCTCTCTCTCCCTCCCCCGCCGGGGCTCCCCCCATCCCCGTGACTCCCAGGGAGCTGCTGGGGTTTTCCTCATGCGCCCACGTGAGGCTCAGTGGAAAGGTCGCGGACTGCGGGCAGGACCACCCCACCCCCTCCACACTCCCCCCTAGTTCTCAGGCTTGGGGCTGCATGGCAGAGGGGAGCCAAGGTCGTCCCTGTGCCCGGCCAGGGCGGGCCCACCCTGCAGACCTGGGGCGGGAAGACTGAGGCCGGGCACGGAAGGGCTGGGCCACGTTCCCAGCCCGGGGCAGGGGGAGTCACCACCGCGCCTGCAACTTTGGGAGAAGTAGGAGGTGGCTGGCCAGGGCTCGCAGTTTCGGTTTAGAGGCAAAACGCAGCACTGTGCCAAGGCCAGCTGGCCCAGAGGCCGACTTCCTGGGGTATTTTTCTGCTTGTTGATTTTAGTTTGCGGAAATAAAAAAAAAAAAGTTCTTTTCTTTAGTGCAAAAGAGAGGCCTATCCTGGGATGGAGACGGCTGTGGTGGGTGCGGGGCACTCCCTGCGGAATCCTCCAAAGGAGCTCTTCCTTGCAAGTCCTGAGCTCACCTCGCTGTGTGGTCCCAGGTGCCCCATTGACCGCTCTGGACCTTGGGCTGCGGTGGCGGCACCCCCTCCCGCCGAAATGCCTCCATATGTGCCCAGAGCTTAGGGCTGGCTCCTGCACAGCCAGTAACAGCGGTGGCACGGCGGCCAGGTTTCGTAATAAACCGGTCTCTTAATTGCTACAGGGTAGGAGGAGAAAAAAAAAAAAAAGAGGCATAGATTTGTTGGAGTCGGTGGAGGCGCCTGCTGCAGAGAGAAGAGGTACTGTTCTGCACGGCAGCCTGGAGCTGCTAACAGGGGCTTGAGTAACACTTCCTGGCGAGCTGGCGGGGGTTGCGGAGGAGAGGTGGGGAGGGGGTGTGTGAAGCGTGTCCCAGGGGAGGGGGCAGGGGTCCCAGTTGTTCTCAGAAGCCGAAAACATACAAGCACCCAGAAGCTTTAGAAATTTATTACAAGGTCATCATAGTAGAAATAAAAATATAGATATCTGTGCTTCCTATCTCGCTCTCAGTGGTTCGAGTAACAAGTGCAAGTAACAAAATAGATTGTCTCTATGATTCGCAAACTGGGAGTTCATGGGTACAGAGCAACTTTGGCCCCAGCTCCCAAGTCCCAAAGTGTGGTCTTGTCGAGGGTGCAGACAAGCACCAACCAAGTTCAACCAGGTCTCTGGTCTGCAGACGCCAGCTCCAGTCTCAAGGAGGGTGGGGGTTGCAGTCAGTCTCACTCCACCCTCAAGTGGAGAGTCTGGACCCTCCGTGATAGGAAAGGCGGCAGCGTGCCCCGCCACTCCAGCTTCTGCTCCATCCCAAGGCCTGAGCTCCGGGGTCCTGTCTCCTGCTGGCCTGGGTCCCCACTTCTCCTCCATCGGATCGGCGGCCGCCAGCTCCCCGATCTCCGCCCTGGGGGCGGCCACTCACTCCCCTTCTCCTCCTCCTCCTCTTCAGTCTCCAACGACTCTGCCCCCGATGGTTTCGTGGGTTGGGTTGTTATGGGGGGGTTGTGCTGAGGGGGAGGGGGGTTCAAATATTTATTTTATTTTTTGTTTTTGGCAGCAACTTAACAGGTTCTGCTGCTGGGAAGGGCCTCAGCGTTCCTGAAGAGAGATGTAGGGCACCCACTGGTTGTTGCCCCGGCTTTCTTCGCAGTAGCTGGCTACCTCCACCAAGCCGTGGCTCTTCCAGGCGTCCGTGTGAGGGTTCTGTGGGAGGGGAAAAGAAGGGGTTTAGTGGGAGCCTCCCTCTCCCGGGGCCCCATGTGTGGGGAAAACAGGCAGGCTCAAAATAGCTCCCTGGGTGAGGAGGCCCCAGCCCGGCTGCCCACGGGACATGCCAAGCATGGTTGAACGCTGAGCTGTGCAGGACCAGTCAGCCCGACTTTGTTGACAAACACCAGCCCAGGTGCCCGGGTGTGGTGGGGCAGGGCAGAGGCCCGACTCACCGTGACCAGGAGACAATGCAGGTCTCGGGCCTCAGTGGTGCCCTGGGTCTCGGCCGGCTCTCCCAGGAGCTGTGCCAGGCGCTGCATGCCTGACACCCGCATGATGTTAATGTCGTTGTCGCAGCAGAAGGACTGGATGAGCGTGAAGTGGATTTGCAGGGCGATGTCATCCTCCTCCTCCTCGTCAATGGCCAAGAGGCAGAGGACCACGCTGTCTGGGTCCCTGAGGGGGCCAAAGGGAAGGGGTGGGTCAGCCGAGGACAGGGGAGAGGCCACCGTGCAGGGGGAGTTTGCAAAAAAGGAGCGTGCAAGAGCAAAAGAGAAACTGCAGGGAGGGGATTGCCTCTGCAAGCTGGTGACGGTGGGGGGCGGGGAAGGCACACGGTTCAAAGTGTGGGGTGTGGGGAGACAGGCCCACAGCGGGAGGAGCGCTTGCAGACGATGCATCAGGATACGGCAGCCCCCAATCCACAAAACAGCAGAGGAGCTCTGCATCCACAGCGGGTGGCACTTGGGGAAGTCCCAGCCCCATGCGAGACAAGCGTGTGGAAAGCGTCCAGAGCGGAGGGGAGGTCCCGTCCCACCCGCGCCCGGCCCGGGGAGGGGGTCTGACTCACACATTCATCAACTTGGCCGACTCGTACACCCCCACTGTGAGGCGATCCTGGCGCTGAGCGGCCACCAACAGCTCCTCCACCGCGGCGGTCACCGTCTGCATCCTGAGGCCAGGAGAGAGGGATCAGTGACGGGCAGACCACCGGGTGCTACATTCCGCTCCCGGCCCGGCCCAACCCGACCCATCCCGTCCCGGCCGACCTCAGACGGCGGCGGCCCCGGCTACTTACTTCTGCGCCGCGTTGTCGCACGCCACGAGCTCTTCCAGCGTCATGTTGCAATTATAATCCACAGTGGACGCGGCTCCACGACAGTCCCCAGGGAGAAATTGCAAAATCCGCGCCAGAGAGCCCAAAACCTTCCCACGGAGCTGGAGCGCTCGTCCAAGACCTTCGGGAAGCAGCGAAATCCTTCCAGAAAAGGCGGACAAAAATGTTGCAAAGTCCTTGGCGAAAATAATCCGGGAAGTTGCAGAAACCAACCGTAGTCCGAAGCCTCGGCGATCTGAGCGGGGAGCCTCCGGCACCGCCTTTTATAGACTTGACGGATGGGGCGTGGCCTCAGTGGAGTCATTCACCCCTCCTATTGGTGGAAGGACAACGGAGAGTGCAGACAGCTCTGCGGTTGGCCGACGGCGGGGAGGGGGCGGAGCGCCGTGTGGGGGCGCCCCACGTGGGGGCGAGAACCGGGAGGAGGGCGCGCGGGGGCCGGGTAGGTGACCGCGAATGCCAGAAAAGAAAAAAAAAAGCAGAAGTTTTTTTCTCCTGATTTCCCGGCAGCCGAGCCGCGGTTCGGGGCGCGCGCGGGATTTCCAGCGCGCGAGGCGGCCCGGACTTTCGGGGGGGGGGGCCTGGAATCCCCTCCCGATGCGCGGAGAGTCCCGGACTGCGCCTTTCCCAAGTTCTGCTGGGGGTGGAGGGGCTGCACCGGGAAGGGGCCCCGTTTGCAGTCTGATCTCGCCCAGGTGGTGGTGATGGCCGGAGTCTCTCCTGGCTGCGGCGACCCCAGCCCCTGGGTGATTTCGCTTTTCCCGGCCTCTATATTCCTGTCTGAGTAATGGGGCTGCAGCGCCGGCCTCGCTGGTTTGCAGAGCATGACATAAAATACTGCTGACAGTAAGCGCTCAATACACATCATCTGTCACCTGGTGGTCGCGGGAGGCCTCCTCCAGGGTCCCGAAAGTGGGAGGTTGCAAAGCCCGGGGCACTCTGGAGAAGAAAGCGGGCGCCCCCTCGCCGACCCCGCGAGTTTCAGGGTGCGGTGCGCGTGGGAGGTGCAGGTGGCGCGGCCCCGCCCCCGCCGGCTGCCTGGCGTTCCAGGCTTTGCCCGTGCGGAGGCCTCCAGGCCGAGGAGAAAGCCATTGTTGGGGGGAATGGTGCAGGCTGCGGCTGCACGCCGCCACCCCAAGCCCACGTGCAGGGATGACGGCCACCTTTATTTCTCACCCCGGGGTGGGCGCTGACCTGCACTGAGCGTGGTGCGGACCTGGCACCCTCCACCCCTCCCGATTCATGGATGATTTAATCCAAGACCTGAGAAGCAGGGGGGATGCTTATGTGCATTATGCAAAAGGGTAAACTGAGGCTTGGTGAGGCCACGGGCTAGTTCGTGTTGGAGTCACGCCTGTGGGCCAGGCACGGCCGCCTGCAGGACTCCGCCGCCCCAGGAAGGCTGCTTAGGAACGAGGCGGGCAGGCCCGGCATGACAACGTCTCCCACGGTCGACTGGGGGCTCCCGGGTGACTCACATCTGAGTCCCCTCCTCCGCCAGCCTGGGGTCTGGCCTCGGCCCGGCGGCTCGGTTTCCCCGGTTCCCCGGCTCCCGGCCCGCGAGTCCAGCTGACGCATCCCGCCTCCTCCGCGACGCCCACCGCTGGGGCACGAAATGTCCCGGGGCTGCGAGGCGCGGCGGCGCCATCTGGTGGCCGCGCAGAGTTTCTGCGCCCTCAGCGCCGGAAGAGAGGGACGGACGGGCGGGGCACTGGGCTGGAGGGAGGGGATAAGGGGACCGTGGCAGTTGCAACGTTTTATATAATTTTATATATGCAATGTTTTACGCAGGCAACATATATATTTATATTTTATAATTTCATTTTAAAAATTAAATCGGCCGGGCGCGGTCGATCACGCCTGTAATCCCAGCACTTTGGGAGTCCTAGGCGGGCAGATCAACTGAGGTCAGGAGTTCCAGACTAGCCTGACCAATACGGCCAACATGAGCTGAAGACAGGGAAGGTCAGGGAGGTGAGTGGGATAAGTGCAAAGTCAGATTCTGTCTTTATTTACAATTTTGATATTTTGTTCCCTGACGCTGGGATTACAGGCGTGAGCCACCACACCCAGCCTGATTTTTATTTTTAAAAAGTATTGCAGGCTGGTTAATCCCAGCACATTAAGAGGCCGAGGAGAGCAGATCATGAGGTCAGGAGTTCGAAACCAGCCTGGCCAACATGGTGAAACCCCGTCTCTATTAAAAGCACAAAAATTAGCTGGGCATGGTGGCACGTGCCTGTAATCCCAGTTACTCAGGAGGCTGAGGCAGGAGAATGGATTGAACCTAGGAGGTGGAGGTTGCAGTGAGCTGAGATCATGCCACTGCACAGGGCATGGTGACAGAGAGAGACTCCATCTCAAAACAAAAGGCCGGGCACGGTGGCTCACGCCTGTAATCCCAGCACTTCGGGAGGCCGAGGCGGGCGGATCACCTGAGGCCAGGAGTTCAAGACCAGCCTGACCAACATGGAGAAACTAAAATACAAAATCAGTCGGGCATGGTGGCACATGCCTGTAATCCCAGCTACTCTGGGGGCTGAGGCAGGAGAATGGCTTGAACTTGGGAGGCAGAGGTTGCAGTAAGCTGAGACTGCAGTGAGCCAAGATCGTGCCAGAGTGAGACTCTGTCTTTAAAAAAAAAAAAAAAAAGAATGGGGTGTGTTGTGTACACCTGCAATCCCGGCTACTCCGGAGGTCGAGGCAGGAGGATCACTTGATCCCAGGAGTTCCTGGCTGCAGTGAGCCAGACTTGCACAATTGCATTCCAGCCTGGGCAACAGAGTGAGACCCCATCTCAAATAAATAAATAAAATAAGGGCTGGGCACAGTGGCTCATGCCTGTAATCCCAGCACTTTGGGAGGCTGAGGCAGGTGGATCATCTGGGGTCAGGAGTTCAAGACCAACCTGGCCAACACGGTGAAACCCCATCTCTATTAAAAATACAAAAATTACCAGGGCATGGTGGCGCACGCCAGTAATCCCAGCTAATCGGGAGGCTGAGGCAGGAGAATCGCTTGAACCTGGGAGACAGAGACAGAGGTTGCAGTGAGCTGAGATTGCGCCACGGCACTCTAGCCTGGGAGACAGAGCGAGAATCTGTCTCAAAAATAAAATAAATGAAATAAAATAAGGCGAGCAAAGCAGGGCCTCAGAGAGTATGTGTAAGTCCTTCCTCTGTGTGTCCCCCCATGCCAGCCATAACAACCTCCTGTCCAAGAGGCCGGGCCTTTGTCAGCTTTTTCCTCCACCTGAGATGCTGTCTTCCTCTAGTTTTCACCAGGAAAATCCTACTTCTCTGTCAACACTGATTTGGCCTTATTTTCTCCCAGACCAACTGCCTGGACCCCCATGTCCCCCACCCTACAGCCTTCTCTTTCTAGACCCAAGCCCTCCTCTGCCTCCCTTTTCCAGTCCTGGCTCCAGGCATCTTGGAATATCTGGAGTATCTTGGAATATCCGCAAGAGACTCTGAACTCTGTGCCTTTCAGCTCAGAAAATGAGCTCCAGCCGGGCCAGGCACGGTGGCTCACACCTGTAATCCCCAGCACTTTGGGAGGCCAAGGTGGGCGCATCACCTGAGGTCAGGAATTCAAGACCAGCCTGGCCAACATGGTGAAACCCCACCTCTACTAAAAATATAAAAATTAGTCAGGCGTGGTGGCGCATGCCTGTAGTCCCAGCTACTCAGGAGGCTGAGGCAGGAGAATCGCTTGAACTCGGGAGGTGGAGGGTGCAGTGAGCCGAGATCATGCCATTGCACTCCAGCCTGGGCAACAAGAATGAGACTCGATCTCAAAAAAAAAAAGAAAAGAAAAGAAAATGAGCTCCAGTCTCAGTTTCTTTCTCTGTAAGATGGGAGCAGTCACACTAAGGCTTCATCAGAGACATTGAAGGATCAAATTCCCACAATCAGGTAAGCGTTCAGGAAATGTGCACTATTATCTTTGGGCCTGGCACCAGAGATCACCTCTGTAATCCCAGCACTTTGGGAGGCCGAGGCAGGAGGATTGCTTGAGCCCAGGAGTTTGAGACCAACCTGGGCAACATAGGGAGACCCCATCTCTACAAAAATTTTTTTTTTTTTTTTTTTTTTTGAGACAGAGTCTCGCTCTGTCACCCGGGCTGGAGTGCAGTGGCCAGATCTCAGCTCACTGCAAGCTCCGCCTCCCGGGTTCACGCCATTCTCCTGCCTCAGCCTCCCGAGTAGCTGGGACTACAGGCGCCCGCCACCTCGCCCGGCTAGTTTTTGTATTTTTTAGTAGAGACGGGGTTTCACCATGTTAGCCAGGATGGTCTCGATCTCCTGACCTCATGATTCGCCCGTCTCGGCCTCCCAAAGTGCTGGGATTACAGGCTTGAGCCACCGTGCCCGGCCTCTACAAAAATTTTAAAAGTTAGCAGACCGTGGTGGTGCACACCTGTAGTCCCAGCTACGCAAGAGGCTGAGATGGGAGGATCACTTGAGCCTGGGAGTTTGAGGCTGCAGTGAGCTATGATCATGTCACTGCACTCCAGCCTGGGCAACAGAGCGAGATTCTGCATCTAAAAATAAAATAAAGTAAAAGATGAGATCAATAACAGCATCACCGAGACCATCTTGGAGGCTGAGGTGAGAGGAGTAATCGGTATGTGTAATCCTGTCATAATTTTCTTTCTTTCTTTCTTTTTTTTTTTTGAGACAGAATCTCGATCTGTCACCTAGGCTGGAGAGCAGTGGCACGATCTCAGCTCACTGCAACCTCCACCTCCCAGGTTCAAGTGACCCTCCTGCCTTAGCTTCCCAAGTAGCTGGGATTACAGGTGCCCTCCACCACACTTGGCTAATTTTTTGTATTTTTAGTAGAGATGGGGTTTCACCATGTTGGCCAGGCTGGTCTCCAACTCCTGACCTCAAATGATCTACCTGCCTTGGCCTCCCAAAGTGTTAGAATTACAGGTGTGAGCCACCTTACTCGGCTTTAAACAAAATAAATTTTACAACATTTATCCAGCATAGAGGTTTTTGCATTCATTTAAATTAAGAAGAACAACAAAAAACGTGGCCGGGGCCAGGCGCAGTGGCTCACACCTGTAATCCCAGCACTTTGGGAGGCTGAGGTGGGCAGATTATGAGGTCAAGACATCAATATCCTCTAATGAGATTAGTTTCTTTTTCTTTTTCCTTTTTGAGACAGGGTCTCCCTTTATTGCCCAGGCTGGAGTGCAGTGGTGTGATCATGACTCACTGCAGCCTCTATCTCTAAGGGTAGACTCATGTGTGTAATCTCAGCACTTTGGGAGGCCAAGTCGGGAGGATTGCTCGAGCTCAGGAGTTCGAGACCAGACTGGGCAATCTTGCAAGACTCCCATCTCTACAAATAATTTTTTTTTTTTTTTTTGAGACGGAGTCTCTCTCTGTCTCCCAGTGCAGTGGCACAATCTCAGCTCACTGTAACCTCCACCTCCCGGTTCAAGTGATTCTCCTGCCTCAGCCTCCCGAGTAGCTGGGGTTACAGGTGCCCACCACTGCACCTGGCTAATTTTTGTACTTTTAGTAGTGATGGGGTTTCACATCTTGGCCAGGATGGTCTCGAACTCCTCACGATCCAGGTCCTGACTTCATGATCCACCCGCCTCGGCTTCCCAAAGTGCTGGGATTACAGGAGTGAGCTACTGCACCCAGCCATAAATAATTTTTTAAAAATTAGCCAGGTGTAGGGCCAGGCGCAGTGGCTCACGCCTGTAATCCCAGCACTTTGGGAGGCCGAGAAGGGCGGATGATGAGGTCAGGAGATCGAGATCATCCTGGCTAACACAGTGAAACCCTGTCTCTACTAAAAATACAAAAAATTAGCTGGGCATCGTGGCGGGCGCCTGTAGTCACAGCTACTTGGGAGGCTAAGGCAGGAGAATGGCGTGAACCC